AAGCAACCCAAATGTCCATCCACTGAGGAATGAATAAAAAGTTGTGGTATTTTTATATAATGGAATGTTACTCAGCTATAAAGAAAGATAAACTCGAAGCTTTTTATAGGTAAATGGATGCAACTAGAGACAATACTCATAAGTGAAATAAATCAGACCTGCATGTGTAAACAACATATTGTCTCACTAGTATAAGAACCTGAAAGAGTGAATAAAATTAGGAGGTATGATAGACATTGTGAAATGAAAGGAAACTGCTCAAAAATAAAGAGCAACTGGAGTGAGGGGAAAAGGGAAAAGAAAGAAGGGGAAAATTATGTTTATATGTATATACAGGATAGTTAACATAGTTGTACTACTGACTTCTATTGCTTTATTGAAAGGAACAGTTAATGATTAATTATTTGATCAATATTACATGTCTATATTTGTTTTCCTGAGTAACCACTTTGAAGAAATCAATATGTAATACAACAACCATTTCTAATTTCCTATCACCTTGTCTGAATTTCAGTATTGTTTGTATTGTTCTTGTGTTATTTTGTAAATGTATGTGTGTTTGTTAATATTTTTTGTTCTTTTATTTTTTTAAATAAAAAAATAAGAAAGCCTTTTTTATTTTAATTCCTTAAGAAAATGATATTTTTATCAAAATGTTTTCTGTGTTTTAGGAGGAAAAAAAGCACATAACAGCAAATGGCCTTGAAAAACGGAGACCAATCAGAAATCCATTTTATAGCCAGAACCTTAAAAATATTGCACAGCATTCCTCAATAAAGATAATTGCTATATGTCCAACAAATACATTACTGCCAGAAAATATAGAAGCAAAAAACAAACTACAAATTTACAGTGTCTTTTTTTCTTGTATATTGTTCAAAAAGAGAATTGCACTGGAAAGATAAAGCAGGAATGTGATTAATTCATATATGAGTTTAATCTTATTACACCCATTACCTTCTAAGTAGAGACATAATGCAAACAATGCTGTAGTTCTTTTTAGACTGCTCTTAACCAATTCCAGATATTAAAATAATTATTTTAAGCTGTTATTGCCCACAGGCAAAATGAAATAGCATAGGAACCATAAAGCTTTGTAAAACAAAACATATAAGTAATCACACTGGGCTTATCACACCCTTGCCAGATAAAAAAAAAAAGCTGATCATCAGTCAAGAAACAAACACATTAATCCTGAAGGAAGGAGCATTTGCATTTCTATAATGCCAAATTACTCCTGTGGTAAGAGATCTTGCTGTTGAAGAAATTTAATGTATTGCTCCCCAAAACAGTTTTTAAATGGTACTTCAATGCTGGCAATTCTGTTGCACAGAAATGAAACAAAAATCATCTACTTCCATGGGATAATAAATTTTTAGAAGTAATTGTTCTTCACAAGAGATTAAAAGCCCTACTATTAATGTGCATGATTTTCTCGATAATATTAAAAGCAATGCAATTACAGTTATGGTAATTGATGCAGTTTTTACGTGATAATGATCACAGGTCAAGAGTTTAAAACATAAAGCAGAATACACTTCACGCTTCTTAGAGTCAAGTAAATCACCAGCAGCATGGCCAAGCTGTGGTTAACCCTGGATTCTCTCTGCCCTGTCTGCTCCAGGTGCAACTACAGAGACAGAGAGAGAGAGACAGAGACAGAGACAGAGACACACACACAGAGAGAGAAAGAGATGAGAAATTCCTCATCCCTTCTTTCCTTAATGCTCTTATCTCCCCCAAACCAGAACTGTTCTTTCCTTGGGAAACCAGGGTAATTCTCAGTTATCTAGTCAATGAAAGTCACACATATAGGGAGGATAAATTTATTTCACAGTTAATCTCAAACTCCAGTTCAGCCCCATTTTATTACAGTCCTAGGCTTAACTTAAAAGACTGACTAAACAGAATCCAGAGGTGAAGATAAATAAATAAATAAATAAATAAATAAATAAATAAATAAATAAGCCAGCCCTTAATTCCTTCAGAAGGTCAGCTCGTTTTGGAACCAGGAAGTCCTTCTTTCAAAGCCCCCTGGGCTGCGCTGAACCTGTCATTCTGTCCCTACCACTGCCTACTCTTGCTTAGAGCCTGGTGCTACGCTTTCTGACAGGGGAAGCGGAATGCAGTGCAATTCAGTTTGGCCATTTGGATTATTCATTTGCTTGGGTGTTTATGAACCGAATCCAATGGAGCCACAGAATCCTCTCAGGTGTAAGAAATGAGGAGCAAGATCATTACCTTTGATGTGACAGGTACCTGGAAACTCTAGGGAAAAAGTCTCAAAGAGAAGTCAATTTTTCAGTAACCTGGATATCACAGTTTAATGTATGGCACTACCTAAGACCATTCTTGAGCTTTTAATGATGCTATATGATTCTTCCTATGAACCAGAAACAAAAACCTGTAGCATTATCATATTAAAATATTGGCATACTTAAAAATCTGAGTATATAGAAGAATGGTAACAGCATTATTAATCAAGTTTATTACAGGGAGCTGAGATTATGAGTATTTTGCACTTATTTATATTTTTAATATTCCCCAAGTAAATATATGTTGCCTTTACAGTAAGAAAAAAATCAATGATAATTTGTTTTTTTAATTTTAAAAATTAACACTGTATATTCTCCCCGAGCTGGAAATTCTAACTGGTGTTCAAACTGTCTTCTCAAATACACAGACATTCAGGGTTCTTGTCCAAAATTTCTATTTTGTTTACTTAAATTGGGGGTACACACTTATAATCTCAGTAGTCTGGGAGGCTGAGCCAGAGTGATTACAAATTGAAGCCCAGCCTGAGTAAGCTAGGCTTAAAAATCTACCTTAAATAAAAGCCCAGCTTAAAATAAAAATTAAAAAAAAGATAGGAACATACCTCACTGAATTGAATCCCTGGGGGTAGGGGGACCCACTTAAGAGTTCTTTTAAAAAAAAAGAAAAAGTAGTTCTAGTAGTTGTTGAGAAACAGTTGGAGACCAGCATGGTGGCATATACCTATAACCCCAGACTCAGGAGGCTGAGGCAGGAAGATAGCAAGTTCAAGGGGCTATATAGTAAGACCCTGTTTCCAAAAAAAAGGAAAAAAGAAAACCACAGTTGGAAGCTACTATTCTATTTCAGAGAGTTGCTGGGGATTTAGCCAGGCATACTGGCCCACACTACAGTCCTGGCATACTCTGAGGCTAAGACACGAGGATCACAATTTCAAGCCCAGTCAAGCCAATTTAGCAACTTAGCAAGATCCTGCCTCAAAATAAAAAATAAAAATAAAGACCTAAAGATATAGCCCAGTGCAACAGCCCCAGGTTCAGTCTTCAGTACTTAAAAAAAAGAGAGAAAAATTTCCTAAAGTTCTGTGTAAAGAAAACCAATTCACATAGAAGTTGTAATTTTGTATTGTCTGTACACACACACACACACACACACACACACACACAAACGCACACTGCCCATCCACTTTCCCTTATGCATTATTCTTTTTTCCTTCCATGTATAATTCTCTTACTTACCTTATTTCCACAGCCCTAAAGCTCAGAAACTGAGTGAGCAGAATGCGGGCCTTCTACACATATTATATACTAATTGTGATCTTCTGTATGTAGGGATGAAGGGAGAAAAGACTTATCAACTGAAAAGTTTTGGAGTAATTAAGAGATGGGTAGGGAACAAAAGAAGCTTCTCTCTTGATATTTTTTGAGAACCTCCACTTATAATTTGCTTGTGGTCTGCGCTGGTCACTTTCTGCCTCACAGGGACAAAATACCAGACACCCGAAACTTAAAGGAGGAGAGGTTTGGTTTGGCTCACAGCTCTAGAAGTTTCAGTCCGTGGTTAATAAGCTCAAACACAGAAATGCCTTGGGGGAAGGAGGTACAGTCTTCTGGGCCACAACTCCAGTAATCACCTCTCCGGACCAGATCCCACCTCCTAATTGCATGTAAATTATAGTGCTCCCTGGTTTGATCACCTTCCAAAGCCCACCTAAGGGTGCATGAGGGTTTTTGGTGTTATTCTCCAACTAAATCATAACACAATTGCATTCTTTTTGTGCTAAATTGCTGTTTCTTTGAATTTATATTTTAAATAGAGATTTGGCCTTATGGTGCTCTGGTTATATATGGTTCCAACTTTAAACAGATAGGTGATGGTAGTAACACTTGGAACATATTAATTACATAAGGCCCCTCAAATGAAAGAAAATTTGAATGTACCAACAAAAAGCCATCTCGGTTCTCCACCTGACTCTTTTATTTTTTCCAGGGCTGAAAATCTAATCCAGAACTTCAAGCAGGTTAGGCAAGTGCTCTACCAGTGAGCTATATCCCCAGCTTCCCACTCTGGCATAAATCTGCAATGGCAATGATAGTTGGTGAGACTTCCTTCTTCTAAGAAACACCAGTGTGTCTAGAATTGGGGTTAGGGTTAGGATTAGGACACTGATATGGACTGAACATATGATTTTTCTGTTATAAATTTGAGGTACTCATATGTAGAATAACACCCAAAATTCCATTAGGACACACACACACACACACACACACACACACACACACACACACACACACATGGACTGTTTCTCCTTTATGGGCCAGGGAAGGTAAAAGGTTTTTATGACTTGGCTCATCAAAGACAAAAACCCACCAATTAAAGAAATTAATTTCATTCACATTATTACAACAAGGAGAGCATCATGAGTCCAATGCTCAGCATGCCTCAGCAGGGTGACTTTGTCTTACACTTTTATAGGTAGGTATAAACAAGTTATAGATGAGGTAGTTTACTATTGGGATTGATTTTTCAATTAACATCTCAATCAGCTTAAAAGGAAATGTTTATGTCTAGATAGTTTCAGGAGGACGAGCAGTTCAGCTAATCATTCATAAGACAAAGCATGGAAATCAGAGGGTCCGTGTTTGGCCTTGTCACAGCAAACAGCGGAGGCATCCGTGAGTCTTATAGAGTCATGAGAACAAACAAGCACCAACAGAAGGTCTTACCTAGGTGAAACAGAGAAGGGTGGTTCTCTGCAGCATGCTGATCCCAGAACACAAAACCTCTGCTGTTTTCCAAGCCCAGGTGAATTTCAGCACTGGCAGCCGTGACGGACAGCTGAGGGAAAGAGCGGAGTAACTGAGATGCACATGAGAAGCACAAATTCATGATCACAGGTTACCAAGCTGGGTACAGCTAATTAATCATGGTAAGTAACAGTGTAATATTTGTGCAATATACCCTTCTAGAAATTGAGAAAAAACACTTGAGGAGAATTCCTTTCCAGTGCTTGGGGATAGAGTGAATCCGATGAAAACTGACGTTTTCCAGTGCTGAAGATCTAATCCAGGACTTCAAGCAGGGTAGGCAAGTGCTCTATCAGTGAGCTGTATCCCCAGCCTCCCACTCTGGCATAAATCTGCAATGGCAATGATAGTTGGTGAGATTTCCTTCTTCTAAGAACAGATAAGCAGGACAAGGGGTATGCTGCTGACCAAACAGTGTTATAAATGTCATGCAGTAAAACAACAACATACAAAGTAAGTTTATTACTAAAGTAGCATGGTACACAGGGAAAAGCACTGGTGGAGCTGGGGTTCAAATGTGCAGTGTGTTATTTATAAGCAGGGCAACTAAGTGATTTAACCCCTTCATACTTGATCTGGAAAAGAGGACTAAAGTTTATGTAGAAAGACTTGTGCAGCATACAAAGCCCCAAGTAAATCTGCCCAAAATAGGAGAGGAACTCGATGATAGAGCCTCACTCCCTGTCCAAAACTTAGAGGTACCAACTGAATCATGAATGCCTTCACTAGATCTGGAGAGTCATGTGTGTTCCATGAGTACTTGAGCCTATGTGCATTAAGTCAAACTCTTTCCAGCCAATAAAATTGAAAGTGACAGCCATCGATAGTCACATCTCCTGCCCTACAGAGAAAGCGAGTCTGTTCTAGGAAGCATTCAGATGATACACAGAGAGTAATCAAAGGGAAGGCGCAGAATATTGACATGTGTTCAAGTTCCTGGTTCCACATACCCTTTTCTTAGCTTGAGATTTCCTGAAGCTTGGCCATGTTCACAGGTAGGTTTCTGTCACTTATGCCCCACAGATTTAATTAATACAAGCAGCAAGTGTTATTCTAATAAGCAAGATGCCATGAATAAAATAGGCCTTGTGAGTGAGGGTCAATGTTCTCTTGCTGGTTTCCTCTCCTAATTAATAATCCACTTCATCACTAATTCTCTGCTGTACATTGTGTAATGGAAATGCAAAAATCTTAAATATAGTCAATAAACATCTTGTTAAAAAATGCTTTTTATACATATTTTGCTTTACTTCACTGAAATTCATCTTCAAAGAATAAATTTGACTCTAATTCTAATCTTCCCAGTAGACCTTTTGAAGTAAGCTAACGGTCTGGATGTACATCTAACATAAGCTGCATCACATACAATTCCATAGGTTGTTTTGCCTGGGAAACACTGAGTGATAAAGGAAAAAATCTGAGTATTTGCTTCATACAAATTCCTGCACTGAAAATTAGCTTTTTAGTGTAGAAAATAAGATCATATTTAATGTTTCTTATCAGGCTTAACCTCTTCAGATGTTCAAAAGGATTCCAGTTGAATATTGCTTTCAGCAAAACACCCCAGAATACACAACAGAGGAATTTCAGACAAAGCAAATAAGAATACAATTATTTGGCTAACCACCTCTTATTCTTAAGGGTTGCTTTCAGGGACCTAGGAGCCAAATTAAAATGAGAGATAAGAGTAAGGCACCTAGTACTTACTAGGAAATGACAAATTCATTTTAATTATAATTACTCTGGGGAGCAATTAAAAGGTAAGGACCAAACATAGTCTCAATAGAAATGATTCAAAGATAGGATGTACCATGAGAAAAACCCATTGTAAGAATTTTAACTTGTGTATTTAGGATCCCAGAGAGAACAGTAAAAACAAAGCATAAGTTTGTACCAGTGTTCACCCTCCTCTTATAGCATAAAATGCTTCTAAAATAAGAACCCTCTTATTTGTGGTGGTACTTGGCTTTAAAAGTTTAGAGTTATCTAATTTTGTATTGTTAGTTACCTTTTTAAAAGTAATAAGTAAAACTTTTTATGACTTTTAGAACAATTATCAGAACATCAGTCTGTTTGATAATTAAAGTAAAATAGATTTCTTAAAAAACAACGCATTTTGCCTTCTTTGTCAAAAAGGAGTTACTGCTTTTAACCCTAACCAGAAGAAATCAAGCAAATGCCTACTGTATTAGCCAGGATTGTTCAGAGAAGCAGAACCAATAAGGAAGGGAGCAGGGGAGGGAGGGAATTATAAAGAATTTGCTCACATCACCATGGAGGCTGGTAAGTCTACAAATGTAATGTGCAAAGTGAGCAGGGGAAAGAACAGAACCAGGAAGAGCCCATGTCCCAGCCCCCAGGCCATCAGGAGTCTGAGCCAATGCCACAGATGAAACCCAAAGGCAGCCAACTGGTGAATCCTCTTACTATTCTCTTACTTGGGGTAGCATCCATCTTTTTGTTCTACTCATGCTTGCAACTAATTGAATGAGGCCTACCCAAATTATGGAAAGCAATTGATTTATGTAAATCTGCCTGTTCAAACATTAAACTCACCCCAAACACCCTGCAGTTGTACAAAATTGACTGTCACATATACATACATCACCTCAAAGCCAGGCCCACTCACCCCTCACTCTAGAGATCACCTGCACAGGTCTTGTCTACTACCACAGCTTTCTACAATATCACTTATATGAGGAAATCATTTGACTACACAAGAAGAAATGGCTGGATGTTCTAGGAAGTCAGTTCCCCAGGGGCCACCTTTAACTAATGAGGATTGAGGTTTCGTGGGTAGCCTCAAATTCCCTGTAATTCAGGGTAAAATTTCACCAATCTGCAATAAGAAGAGACCTTCCCTGTCTTATTTCAATGCTTCCTCATAGTCTTTCTGAGGTTACCTCCCAAGGACACTGCTTGCACCAATACTTCTCTCAGCATTTGCTTTGAGAAAAAACTAAACAAAGACAATCTCCATTATGGTTTAGATCTGGGATGTCCCCCACCCCACCCCAAGAGCCTCATGCACTCCTAGTGGGGCTTGTGGATGATGGATCCTGGTAGGAAGAGCTCATTCACTGAGTGCATGACCTGGAAGTGTGTATCTCCCTTCCCAACTACTTGCCCCTCTCTCTGCTTGCTGTCCACCATGATGTGAACATCTTCCCTCTACGGCAGGACCTTCTGCTATCCTATTTCAAGGTTGGAGCCAGCCAACCTGGACTGAAACTTCTCAAATATGAGCCAAAATTAACCTCTCCTCCTTTAAGTTGTAGGTATTGGGTATTTCATCCCAGCAACAAGGAAAGATAGATTTTTGTACCAGAAAGTGGTACTGTCACTGTGACACTATCTGATCACGTGGTTTAGACATCTCTAAAACCGGTTCATGGGAAAAGTCTGGAAAGGTTTGGAGATGTCAGCTAAGGAAGCCCTAGAATGCTGTAAGCCAAGCTTGATGGCAGATCTTGGTCAGAGCTCAGAAGAACAGAATGCTGATAAAAAGGCATAGAGTAAAGACCAGGTTCAGTTGGAACAAAGACTCTGTTAGCAGTTAGACTCCAGGCCATGTGTGTTATCCTCTGGCAGAAAATTTGTCTATATTTTGTTCATGTCCTAAGACTTTATGGGGGACTGAGATAAGGGCAGAAAATTAATTAATCTGTCAGAGAAAACATCAAGGCAGCCCAGTGCTGAGACTGTGGTATAGATACTGCTCACTGCTTTTAGCAAGATTAACACTGAGAAACAGAAAGAAAAGCCCATTTAGGAAGTTTTCAGTTTTCTCAGAAAGGAAGGGCCAGCAAAGTTGGAGCAAATGAGAACTTGGTTGCTGAAAAAAATAGCATTAAAAGAATTACTTTCTATCACAACAATAAAAAGGATGCCTGAAAGCTTCCAGGATACCCACAAAACCCCACTGTAAGTTCAAGGGTCCAAAAGTGAAAGACAGCTTGGAGAAAAGATGTTCACAGCACCCTGTTCAAAATGGACCACTAGGAAATTAGTTCACGGTGCTCAACCATTCAGGCACCAAGAAGCCTCTAAGGCCACAATTCAAGGGGGCTCAGCTACTGTTCAAGGTGGTGGCAGGCCTTGGCATCATCCACATAGTGCTGGTTTTAAGGCCATACAAAATGTAAGAGTCATGGGGTCAGGAAGGCTTCCACTTAGACTTCAGAAGAAGTTCTGGGTGGCCAGGCAGTGTGCCCTGAGACAGAAGCATATGACGCTTTGAGATTGAAGCTGAAAGTGCAGTGGAGATCTCAAGAAGTTGGAGATGCCAGAAATGTGGGATATTGGCTGAAAAAAGCACAAGCAGTGAGCAAAGCCATCCCAACAGAAAAATCATGACAACTTGCAATGCTACAGGGGCAGGACCACTCAAGTTATTTGGAGTTCACATCTTTACCTTTAGTGCTGGACATGAAGCTACACAGGATTTAGTGTTTGCCTTCCTCAGTTTTGTTCTTGTTTTGGTCCCGCTGGTTTCTATCCACCTATTTCTCCTTTTTGAAATAGGAATGTTTACCAGTGCCATTATACGTTGGAAGTATTTAACTTTATTTTTTATTTACACTGAGGTTCACAGCTAAGAATTCACCTCAAATCTCGGTGATTTTGGACTTAGGCTTTTCAGCAATGCTGGAACTATTAGGAGTTTGGCAACTTGTAGAGATGGTCTAAGTGTATTTTCCATAAAGAGGTGCTCATGAGCCTTGGGGGCAAGGGAGAATGTTACAGTTTAGATCTGGGACGGCCTCATGTCGTCATAGGCAGGGTTCATGGAAGGTAGGAGCTGACTGTAAGAGTCACTGGGGATGTGACCTGAAAGACTGTATTTCCTTCCCAGCTCCTTCCTCCTCTCTCTGCTTCTGGGCCACCATTGAGAACTTTACTTTTCACAATGCACTTATGCAAACACATGAATCTGACAATCCCACTTTAAAATCACTACTTTCCAATAAATATAAAAAGTATACATAATTGTTTCTGTAAAGCTGGATAAAGGCTTTCATAGACAGTGATGCCCAATCAGTACTTTGTAAAGAAAAACAAATAGGTGAATGAATAAATAACACCTAACTTCCATTTGTAGAAATGAGCTCCTGATCAACAAAGTAAGGCTTTCCTCTGCTAAAAATTGGAAAGGCCATTGAACCTAACATAAGTATCCAAGTGGAATGGCCAATTTACTGTCCAGCTCAATTTCTGTCAATGCAAATGCCCACACACAGAAAGTCACAGTACTGATGTGTCTCCACTTGAATCTGGAGTGTCAGACATTCCAAGATTAAGTGTTTTGGTCCACAACTCATGATAGCTGAGCCAGCCAAGCTCAATAGTGACTGACTCTTGACACTTGGTAAATTACAATCTCTGGTGGAATGAATACAGGAATAATCCTTTTGGCTAATAGATCATTATTTAGAATGCAGTGGAACTTGGTCTTGAAGATGTAGTTAATGAGGTTCTACACCTTATGTAAGTATGTATGAAGGGCTCAGAAGCCAAAAGGCATTTTTTATCTTTGCTTTCCTTCCTGAAGGTAAGAAGATGGCCCAAAATATGGTCTGGGAACTTTCATTTTTCAATGCTAGAAAACTTGATCAAAATGAACTCCTAAGTAGAAAGCCAATTTATATAATAATTTGTATTAATATATTCAATCAACAAATATTTAATGTCACAAGACAGGGTTCAAAGTACTGAAGATTCAACAGTGAAAACAATAGATTTTAGAAACAGCTGTCACACTTTAGAAGAAGAGGTGCTCTGGTTAGGGGTATGCAAGTTAGCAGATGCAAGGGTAGGGCCCCTGGGGGTCTTACAGCTTGCACAAGAATCACCTTTCACATTTGTGTTAGTGCAGATTTCCACCCTCCAAAATAAAATTCTGTAGCTCTCCAGTAAGGAAACTGGATTTTTAAAAATATACTCCAATATATTTGATCCTACTAATAAAAACTGTACTGGGCAAAGAGTGCCCTAGAGTTTCACAGGACACAGTTTATGAACTGCATTCCTTGATTTCTCTGGGGACTGGCCTTTCTATCTTGATTCTCAGATAGAGATAGATACACATTTTTTTCAGTGCCAGGGATTGAACCCAGGGCCTGGCTCATGCTAGGCAATCACTCTACTGCTGAGCTACAACTCCAGTCCTTTATTTTATTTTGACAGGAAGGGTCTCCCTCCTTTGCCCAGTCTGACCTCAAACTTGTGCTCCTCCTTCCTCAGCCTCATGAGGAACTGGGATGACAGGTGTGTGCCACCACACCAAGCAGAACTGACATATTTGATAGATGTCCCCATTGAACTAGAACCTGAAAAATGCATGATGTTTACTTAGAGCTATTCTTTGTACCAACATCATAGTCAAATATAAACAAAGTCCTCACCCCTTATCTTAGACCCTAGAGTCAGCCTAAAATTTTCTTACCAGCAAAGAGATGAGGATTTGTGAGTTGATATTCAGCTGATTTCCCAGAATGTTTCACATCTTTCTGCACACAAGCTCCTCCTAACTATCATTAAGCACCTCTTTCTACAAGTTTCCTATCTTCAAGTAGTTGTTCAGAAATGAGGAGCGCTATGATTAATGTTGTCTGGGTGTCTATTTGTGCCAAACCAGCACTTGTCATATGGTACACAATAAATGCTTATGAAATCCTTGAGTAAAGGAGAAAAAGAATAAAAGAGAGAATTATCAAATAAATCAATCAATTGATCAAGATGTGTGCTTCTCTATCTTGCAAATGAGTGGGCCTCTCCTTGATGTCCAGCTTCTCTTCCCAATCTCCAATTCCAATACTAAAAGAAGGAAAAGTGGGAAAGAAGATAAAACCAGCTAATTATTGACATGTCCTTCCAAAAACTGGCGACAAATAATTACAGAACCCTCTTGACCAGTGGGTGTCACAGCTTGTAAGCCCTGGATTTGACTACATCTCAAATCTAATCTGCAAAAACATGTCTATTAAATTGAAAGCTGGATATAAACCAGTTTCTGAGTTTTCTAGTGAAAAAAGTTATGTACGTTTACATAAATTTTCCACTGCATACCTTATTGTCATTTTGAAAATTCTCACTCCAAAAGATACACCCCCAAAAATTTTAAAAAGAAAAAAAAAAAAAAAAAAAAAAAAAAAAAAAAAAAAACAAAAAAAAAAACAATCAAAACGATACAGAATTTCAAAACAAGGTGATAGGAAATTAACAATGGTTGTTGCATTACATATTGTTATCTTCAAAGTAGTTGCTCACATTACCAGATATAGGTATGCAAAATGGATCAAACAATTAGACATGAACTGTTCCTTTCAATAAACCAATAGCAATTAGTAGTACAGTTATCTTAGCTATCTTGTGTGTGTGTGTATATGTATATTTTCCCTCTTCTTTCTTTTCTTTCTTTGACGGCGGTAATAATTGAAGGCAAGGCAGAGACATCCCCCCAGCCTTTTACTTGAGTATTGCTGCCCCCTGCTGGATAGAATGAGAAGTGTCTGTGTGACCACATAATTCAGAATGTGAGTACTGGTAGGAAAGGATTTTCAAAGTTCTTATCTAGTCAAATCCAGGGATTAAACTAAGGACCAGTACTTTTTCATTTTGCCTAAGACTCTACTATGACTTCACACATCATTGTTACTGACCCTGTCTTTATTCAAAATTCTGATATTTTTATCACTGAATGTTTTTGAGTTTTGACTTTTTTTTTCTTTTTGTATTTTATTCTTTTATTTATTTATGTTCTTTTTGGTGTTGGGGATCAAACCCAGAGCCTCATGCACACTAAACAAATGTTTGTTTTTAACTGACCTAAAATAATTATAGATATTTATGGAGTATGGATTGGAGGGGCGATCCTTTGCCCTGAACTACATTCCCATCCCCAGCCTTTTTTTTTTTTTTTTTTTGAGACAGGGTCTTGCTAAATCTTTAAGTTGTCCAGACTGAGCTAAAACTTGAAATCCTCCTGCCTCTGGCTCGCAGAGTGCTAGGATTACAGATGTGTGCCACAATGTGCAACTTAGTGGGAGGTTTTTATACATGTATGCATTGCGCGACAATCAAATCAGGGTGGTTAGTGGAGCCATCACCACGTGCATCTATCCTTTCTCTGTGGTAAGAATGTGCAAATTCCTTGCTTCTAGTGACTGAAATATTCAACATAATATTGTAAAGGCCGTGGCCATGCTGTGCAATACAACACAGAACTCACTCCTTTCATCTAATTTTAACTCTGTACCCATCACTGTCCTACTTCCTTGAACCTCTTACAAATCCCACCTAAAGGGTACGATAACTATTATGTGAAAGATACTGGACTAGGACCTCAAGGAGATAAAAAGGATTAGTTGAACACATTTTCCCTGGGATCACCAGTTCAGGAAAATGGAGAGTATTTTTTTAAATATGTGTGCAAATGATAATTTTTAAAACATAAAGCCTAATAAAGTGTAGGTTGTCGGAGAAAAACTAAACGGATGGGCAAGTGAGAAAGAGTGTAATCTGATGGGAGGAACCAGGAGCCCTTTCCCAGGAGGCAGCACCATGTTACCTAAATCTTGAAGGAGGATTGCACATGAAGAGGTAGAATGAAAGAAAGGGAGGGAGGAGAACAATCTGGAAGGAGGCAACCGTCTGTCTGCAACACAGGACAGGTGATGTAAGCGCAGAGGGACAGGGGCTAGTGAGGCAGGCCCGGCCGAGAGCGCCGCGGAGGGCCAGGTGGAGGGCGCGTACTGTCTGTCCTATGGGAAGGAAGGTGCATCCTCCTCCTGCAGAAACCACTGCTGCAGGCTGCTGGCAGCGTCGTGGCCAGCAGAGACAGCTGGGGAGCCTTACCCCTGCAAGCTCCGCGGCCCCAGAGACACTGTCCACGCAGGCAGTGCGGGCGGGCAACCCCCGGGTGCGGCGCGGCCACCCCAGGAGTGGGAGGCAGAGCGACACCCCCTGTCCCGCGGGGCCCTGGCTGGGACATCACTGGGGGTGCGGCGGCAGGCACCTCGGTCCTGGCTTTGTTGATAGGGCTGGACACGGGCTCCCCAGGCCACCTTGTTGGAGGTGTTGGCCTCTGAGTGGCCTCCAGCCCGGACTCTGTGCAGCAGAGCTGGGAGGAAAGACGCTGGAAGACTTCACGCTGTGTCCGGTGAGGGTTCATGGCTCAGAAGGGAGGCTATTTAGTCAGTGATAACCACAGATGTTTTTCTAAAAGCCACAGGTAATTTAGATATTATTAGAATAAACTGACAAACTGATAGGCACCAGAATATGTATCACTTGTGCTATAAAGTTTAGTTTCATTAAAGAATAGGAAATAATTGGTAATCCCAGCTACTGGGACACTGTGGCTGGAAGATTCTGCGTTCCAGGCCAACCTGGGTGACTTAGCAAGACCTTGTGTCAAAATAACATAAAAAGGGCTGGGGACGTAGCTCAGTGATAGAGTACTTGCGCAACATGTGTGAGGCCTTGGCGCTGCAAAGGTCTGCAGGCACTACAAAGGGGAAAAAAGAATAAGAAATCTATTCCTCGTTTTCTTATTTATATATTTTTGTATGTAGCCATAGCTCAGGCTTGTAGCCATTCACTTACATGAAGAAAGGAGGCTGTCCTGATGGCCCGTGCAGCAAGCAAGGGTAAGTGCAGCTGCCGTCCCGTGTGGTGCAGACCGGGCTGGGGATTTAGCTCAGCGGCAAAAGCGCCTGCCTGGCAAGCGCAAGGTCGTGAGTTCGGTTCCCGGTACCAGAGAAAAACAAAAAACAAACAAAAAAAAAAAAACAAACAGTCCATGTGGTGCAGACCTAGGTTCTGTCCACGCAGGACAGGACCACCACAATCTATCCATGTGCTGTCCTGAGCTGTCTAACCACTCCCCTGGATGCAGGCCCGTAGGTGCAGCTTGCTTTCCCCTCCAAGGAGGAAGAACATCGGCTGTAGAACATGGGCCCCCGCAGGAAGAAGAGACAGAGAGAGAAGAGAATTTCCTTGGGGAAACTGGATTTGTAGTGAGATGACACTACAGTGACAAACAAGGTTCACAAAGTTCACAAACATCAAGGGCCTGGACTTCATCGTGAGAGTAACCGAGGGTGGCTGAGAAGACTGAAGGGAAAGTAACGTGATTGTCCTCGCGTTACCACAGCATGAAGGCGGGAGGTGTGGACGGGAAGCAGGGAGACAGACAGGATGCCTGCGGTGATGAACCAGGTGAGAGATGAAAGCATGGAAACTAAACTAATGACCAAAGGAGTTGTGAGAAGTGGGTGTCTGAAATACTACTGGGAAGCCATGAAGACCTTCGTGATTGATATTTGGTGCGGGACTGAAAATTTAGGTCCCTTTACAAAACAGTTAAGCTGAAGCCCTTCTCTAAACACCAGTTGAAGCCCCAGTCCATCTTCAAGGATTAGAGTCCTTATAAGAAATAAGAAGAAACACCAGAAAACCTCTCTCTCTCTCTCTCCCTCTCCTTCTCTTTCCCTTGCTCCCTTAAATGAGGGCTCACCAAGAAGGCAGCTATCTGCAAACCAGGAAGACAACCTTCACCAGAAAATTTAATTTACCACTTCCTTGATCTTGAACTTTCCAGCCTCCAGAACTGTAGGAAAATATCTGTTGTTTAAGCCACTGAGTCCATGATATTTTGTCAAAGCAGCCTAAGCAGACTAATACAGATATGAGGGTTCAGGGGGAGTGGAATAGGAGCCCCAGCCATGGCCCTTTGGAGACCTGGAGCGCCAGCTTCCTGTAGATGAGCACAGGAGAGCCGAGCTTGTAAGGAGGGTGAGTTCTGCTCTGGGCATCTGGAGCTCAAAAGACTGTGGACGATGGAGGACACTCAGTAAGCATCAGATTTCTAAGTCTGGAGCCCAGGAGCCCCGAGCAAAGACATTGATCTGGGAACACCGTGCATGGAGATGCCCACTAACGCCTTGAGAATAGATGAGATTTCTCAGCAAAAGAATGAGGAGTGGCTGGGGATATAGCTCAGTGGCATAAGCGCCTGCCTGGCAAACATAAGGTTGTGAGTTCAATCCCCAGAACTGCAAAAAAGAAAAAAAAGAAAAGAAAAAAAAAGAGAGAATGAAAAGGAAAAGGAAAAGGAAAAAAGGCTAAGGACACAAATGTTAAAATCACCAATATTTAAGGGATATAAAGAGGAAAAGGAAAAGGTCTTGAGAAGTTTCAGGGTGGAAGGAGAACCTGCTCCCTCCCCCAAAAAACTATGATGAACAAGAGGGGAAGTGTGGCCGTGAAGGAGGGCGTGCAGAACAGTGTCAGCTGGAATTTCAGGAGCAGGAGGTTAGGTGAAGTCGGAGGAAAGAGGCAGTGGTTCAGTCCCGCGGCACAGGCTGGTGACCCGGCCAGGACAGCTCTCCATGGAACCGAAACCACAGAGAATTAAGGGCTGACTGGGCAGAATAAATGGAGAGAAATGAAAGCAAAACAGCACGAGACGTAAGGTCAGTGCATATTGGCCATTTTTTTACCCTGTAAGTCTTTTCAACAGATGTAAATAGATGGACTGAATTATTAGAAGGCATAAAGAGATACTTTCTTTGTGCAATACTGTTTTTTAAATTAGGTTATTTGTCAGGGAAGCAATGGAGTCACATTTCAACCTCGTGTGGAACTAGATTGGTATATTTTTTCAGATTAGGTTTTAATAGAAATGAAGCCTTGTGAAGCTCTGAGCTTTTAAAACTGTTGGTTTTGTTTATTTGCAAAGGGACTTGAGAACTATAAACACATTCTGATACCTAGAAAATACCAAGGAAGGTATCAGTGTGCTATAGCCTTGAGTTGTCATTATTGTAATTTGGGAATAATGATTTTCTGTACATTCTTACAATTAAAGATCTATATTGACCCAGAATCTCTGTGGTCTATTGTTGGGATAGAAATCTGTGAATTAAAGAGAGTCTAGGAAGTACCAGACACCCTCTCCCCATTCTCTTCTCTCTTAATAATCACTCAAACATGAAAAGCCCTAACTCAACAGCTGGCAAGATCACAGCTAGTATATCTTGAGACGTCTGTTTACTTGTGACTTTTAATTCCTCCACAAGAAGCCCTTTCCTGCTTTCAAATCCCCAAATGCCTCAGAGGAGCCTATCACTTCCCTCCTCCCCCAAATCCCAGAGCTTGGCCCACCCTAGGCCCATTTCCTTCTCACTTCCCCTCCTTCTCCTCTGGTCCTCCCACTCAAGAGAGACATCCCCCAGGCTGCACGCGGAACTGGCTCTGAGCCTCATATCCTCTTCCAAACTGTTTGTCTCTGCCAGGTCTTAACTTCAAAAAAGAAAAGTTAAAAATTGACTCTTCTTTTACTCACATTCTGCTCCCTCCCCCAAATCCCAGAGCTTGGCCCACCCTAGGCCCATTTCAGCTCATCCCCACGGCACAAAGGTGAATCTCATATCACATCAGATGACACCGCAGTACAAAACACGCTGATGGAAAGCTTTAGCTTATATCTCAAAATATCATCATGGCACTTAAGCAAATAAAAGAGAACCAGGACAGGAGGAAGGAGGAGAGGAAGGGAAAGGAAGGAAAGGAAGGAAAGGGAAGGAAGAGGAAGGGGAAGGGAAGGGAAGGGAAGGGAAGGGAAGGGAAGGGAAGGGAAGGGAAGGGAAGGGGTAAATTAGATATAATAGGAAAAAATAATCACCCATTATGTACCTAGAGAGTCAATGGGCACAATTTTCCTACATATCTTTCCAATTCATTACCTGTTTATATGTCTATGTATATATTTCTACTAAGCCTGTCTTTGCAACCTGCTTTAATTTAATAATTTACCCATCTCCTGTTTAACCACAATACATAATTCTGAAAAACTTTGCCAAATGAAAAAAAAGTACATTTAAATTTTTTTAACATTAATGAAAATACTATGACACATTTTATCCTACATGACGATGCCAAATTTCCAATTGCTGCCTGAAAATATTTTAAAGTTTATATAAACAATGGACAACCATATTTGAAAGTATCTAAATATGGTCTGAATACTGACTGAAGTATAATCAATACTTACTGTACTTTCCCAGTGAGGAAGAAGGATCTAGCGAATGGGTGTTCGGTGGGGAGTGTTGTGATAGAGCCATTCTTATGGAAGGTGAATTCTCTGTGCATCCTTTTCTTTAGCAACTTTCAAAACTCAGAGTTTTGTTTTGTTTGTTTGGCTTTTGAAATGGAATAATTGAACATAAAGTTAGAACACTGAAAACTGTCTATGGGGAAAAGGAAAATCTAATCTGACAACTCTTAGTAACCTATAGAAAGAGCACACAGAGGTTTATTTTCCTGCTTAATTGGAGAACACACACAAACTGAGAGTTTTGGAAGCACTAATGGTGCCCTGTTCAATGCTGTCTCATATCATACTATATTATGTTGAGAAAATTGGCTACATGATTTTGCTAATGTGATTAGCCTAAAAGTGAAATGTTAGCCAGGCATGGTGTTGCATGCTAGTAATCCCAGTACTCAGGAGATTAGGGCAGGAAGATTATGAGTTCAAGGTCAGCCTGAGCTGCAGAGCAAGACTGTCTCAAAAAATAAACTTCTAAAAATGTAAGCCCTACTGTTTCTTATGGCATATTTATCTAGTCTTTCTTAGTGAAAAATACGTAATTCTTTAAAGTTTTCTGAAAAGTAGCATAACTTTTAAGTAGCCAACATGGGCAAAAATAATCACTAAGAACAGTTCATATATGAAATAAATCTACATGTAAAAACATCATTTCATTCCAAAAAATATAATCGTACAGTATATCAGTACTTTAAATGGCTACATAAATTCCATTATGTATGTAGTATAATTTAGTTAAATATTTTACAATTGTTAGAAATTTGATGATTTTTTTTTAGATTTCTTTTTGTATGTGTGTATCCTTTTTGAGATAAGGTTTCACCGTGCAGTTCAGGCTGGCCTTGAACTCACTTTGTAGTACAGGCTGGCCTTGAACCTGCAGTGATCTTCCTGCCTCAGCCTGCTGATTGCTGGGGTTATAGATGTGCAACACCATGCCTGGCTCCGATTTCATTTTTATAAACAATGCTATGGATGAACAGTCGTGTGGCAGAGTCTCCAAAGAGGTTCTTCATATTAAAAAATTAGTCCTTTTTCTGCCCTGAACTAGTTCTTTGTCCTTCCTCTTCCCTCCTATTCCTCTCCCATTCCTCCACCCTTTTCCTTCCTCTTTCTCCTCCTTTTTTGTGCTGGGGATTGAACCCAGGGCCTCACACATGCTAAGCACATACTCTACCAGAGCTGCACCCCTAACTATGATTCTTCTGATTTCCAAGTTAGCATTTTTTTCTCTATGTCAAATTGATATTTAGATCACATTAGATTTACTAGCCATGGTTTCCAAACAAATGCAGAAACAAACACACAGAAGTTTATATTGATTGCCCAATTCAAGTTAATACAATTCTAACTCCAGAAAAACTGACAACTTATTAAATAATATACCTTTAGAGACTTACAAGCAAGAAAAAAAATGCAGTTCTTATCCAACTTACTTTGTCCTCATGGCTTAGACTGAATTCTTTCTAAATGCTTCAATACTTATAGGTTAGGGTTTCATTAAGAGTTTTCTAACTTTCTCTGTTTAATCGAGTAAGGAGGAAACTTCTG